TTTTTTTTTTCAGGAGTAAATAACGTTAACTTTGTTCCATAATCTCTTTATCAAATCACCATTGACGCAAGTGTCCTTAACACGTGCATTTTCTGGTTATCTACAATATTCCAAATGTATTTCAAACGTTTGTTTTATGTACATGTAGATACCGAGCCGCCAAAGATTGCCTCCTGTCCTGACGATATCTACATTACCTCAAGAAAGAGATACAACAAGGTGTACCTACCTGGTGTCACTGTTACGGATAATGTCGGGATTTACTTATTCACAACAAGCAGACCAAATGGGAGCGAATTCAAGTGGGGAGAACACAATATTACTTACAAAGCTTTAGACAGAGCAGGGAATGAGGTCAACTGCCATTTTCAAGTTATTATAACCGGTATGCCGATGGATAAAGAGTTTTCGACAGGGATTTGCCGCATATTGCCTCGGAAAGTATAAAAAACACATAGGTGGTGACCTGTTATCAAATTATTACGCCTTCATGCACAGAATAACTGTTCTCTTACATTTACGAGCATGTCTAATTAAATTCAAATTCAATGTCGCATTTGTTTGCCTGCAGAGCTTATAATAGTTTATAAAAATTATACAGTCTTGCAATTTTGGCTATCTTTATCATGAGTTCAAATTCGTAGCTGCAATGCTGTAAGCATCATATGTGATCTCATTTTTTGATCCTTAGTTGCGCTTATATATATATTTAAAGGTGGACATTGGTTTACCCATTATAAACTTTTACATGTATTAGCTACAATTCTTAAAGCATATAATCAAGCTTATTTTTCTATTGGTCGTTCTATTTGTTCCAGATCACACATGTCCCGATTTACCATCACCCCTAAATGGAGCCAAAGCATGCGAGACTTGGCTAACAGGGATGTTTTGTACAGTTCATTGTAATTATGGTTACGCCTTCGTTGAACAACCTCAAAAGGTGTACGTCTGTACCCCGGATGGGAGTTGGCAAAATGCAATCGTCAAAGGGAAGAATACGCCCGCTCTCCCAGATTG